CGTAATAACCTTATTATTGTACATCTTTTCCTTCCAAGGAAACATCACGGGAATGCCAAAATCCAAAATATTTAGAACTGATTCAGCCAACTTCTTTGTGTGGAGTCCGGTCAAACTCTGGTGGCAGCCATGTTTGTTTTTATTATGAGAGGACGCTTCCGCACGTAATCCTACCATATTTGGAATTCACATTTCCTAATATGGTAGGATGAAAATACCCAGTAAAATACCACAAAATTACGGCACACTGTAAATGGCGTTACGGTGACAGATGTATAATAATATTCTTTATTGGGCTTTATCTGTCTTTATTTAAATTACAACAATGTCCATCAGCATGTATTAGAATATATTCCTTTGATGTGAGATTTCTATATTTTCCCATCATGTCAGGGAGATCTGTCGGACCATTTCACATCATTTGTTTTCACGGTTATGAGCATAAAACAGTTAAAACCACAGACACCTGCACAGCAGTCGACAATCAGAAATTTACTCAAGGTAAAATATGCTTTCCTTTATCATTTCCTAATGTGTTTGAAAAACTCATGTATTGATATGAATCATAATATGTCCAAAAATATGATATTTAAATTATTGAGTTTCCATTATGATAATATTTTCCATTATATACATATCCTCTCTTATTGTGCAGTAACATGCTGATTGATGCAAAATTTGGATTTTGCTCAAGCTGCCTTAAATTATAAATACTTCACAATCAAAGTTTTTAAAACCAGTTTCATTCATTTCAAAAGACCTCCAACTGCAAAGATCTTACTCACTGAAACCTGATTAGACTCGACACCATTATGTTAAATATCATATAAAAAAAATTATCCAATTATTAATAATTGGTTATTTATTATTTATTTGCAGTGTAAATTTGAATATTATCATGACAACATGTATATATTCCGACAATTAATGAGAAGATTGGAATCGGTGACTCCTTCCGAAGTGTTAGAAAGGATACAGGAGATTGTTGACTTGAATGTAAGTGGCTGTAACACCTTTGCTTATTGCCTCACTGCCCTCTAATCATTTGTACATGTAACACCTTTGCTGATTGGCTGACTGTACTCTGAACGTTTGTAAATGTAATGCCTTTGCTGATTGGCTGACCGTACTCTGAACGTTTGTACATGCAATGCCTTTGCTGATTAGCTGACAGCACTCTGAACATTTGTATATGTAACGCCTTTGCTGATTGGCTGACTACACTCTGAACATTTGTACATGCAACGCCTTTGCTGATTTGCTGACAGCACTCTGAACATTTGTATATGTAACGCCTTTGCTGATTGGCTGACTACACTCTGAACATTTATACATGCAACGCCTTTGCTGATTTGCTGACAGCACTCTGAACATTTGTACATGCAACGCCTTTGCTGATTTGCTGACTACACTCTGAACATTCAAAAATGCTCCCACTTTTGTATACTCAATGTTCTTTTTTTTTCAGGCCATCAACAGTGCATACTTGGCAACTTCCCAGCTATCTTTTGAAGCGCTTAATTTATGCATGAAATTTAAATTGAATGAACAATTTGCTTCCTTGATTCGGAAAACATCTGAAGTAAGTGTGTCTGTTATCTCATTATGCTGAACCAGAGAGGCCCACCTAGCTTACTCATTCTTAATACTTCCTTACATAGGGATACCGTATTTGCTCCATGAGAATCACATCTTCAATAGAAGTGCAAGTAAACGAACAGTTATATGTATTGTATACTGGATTATTAAACTACAACATATTTTGACCATAGACATATTTCTCTCAATTCTTATCATTACTGTGCTGGAGTTTACTTTCTTCCGCCCCTGAAAATGTACTCGGCATTTCCCCTGTCGATATGCAAATGAGCAAAAAATCCCAAAACGTACGGTAAATCTCCTTTCTTTATTTGGTGTTTGTGTAGTATTCCACAGAATATCTTCATACCATGATCCGGTGTATCCATGCTTGTGAAAATATGGCCGCAGATTACACCGCATCACTCATGAAAAAAACTTCCATACCCAACAAACATCAGGACAACATCATGGGGCTTACGCATATTTTATTATTGCATCTTCTACTAATAGACAATTATGGTATCTATTTGAGTATCATGTGCGAATACAATAAAGTCAGTCTTTGAGTTCACCCAATCTATTTGTCTGTCTGTATGCATGTGTCAACTGATAGCTCAAGAACCACCTGACAAACTTAAAGCTTGCAGTGATATTTCCAGTATCTGTGTTGTATACATTGAATCTTTGCTTCCGATTCCTTCACAACACTCAGAGATTTTTTCTAAACTTGTTTGATACTGATTATGTTTCTGTATCATAGATTAAAGGAAAGGTAAAATTGTTGTTGGCATGCAGTGTTGGTGTCAGTGTCCGCTATATGCACTTGTTTTTCAAATATTGATTGCAATCTGATTACAATCTGATATTGGGATAAATAAATTTGATGGATTCTTCCATACTTCCGTACTGATGCAGTCTCTGATATCAAACTCACCTGTGTACTGTATACAAGGAAATATGACACTTATTATTTTTTATTTATTTTCATATCCTTCAGTACATGTCAGAGAAATCATGGGTGGAACTGAGATAAATATCTTGTTTTCTGAATACTTACACTGGGTATTTTACTCTCTGTTACTTCATCATTGTGATTTTAGGTTATTTGTGGAGACTTAAAAGTTATTGTGATACAAGGAGGAGAGGACTGGGATACACATCAACAACAAGTCACCCATTTTGTTAAGATTCAGTTGAAGGTACTGTCTCTAAAAATTATGAAGTCTATCAATACTACCGAGTAGTCAACAGTTTTTAATACTGGTTTATAGGGCACTCTTTAAGGTAGAAGTAAAATATTTTATTTTCACTTGGGTTTTATTTTCTCTGAGGGGGTAAATCAGTGATCCAGTGAAAGTATCCTTTTTTCCCAGATTTTACATTCAACACTTCAAAAACGTGTGAAAGTAAACTCCATACAAAATGGCCAAAATGTCTTTTCAGTGAAAATTAATTCCAGCTAAAATAAAAAATTTGCCACTTTGTCTCAGTTTATGTACACCATAGTAAATTTTCATATGTAAAATCCCAGCAATCCCAATTCCTGCTTTACCTCTGGCAATTTGAGCTTAAAACTGCCTGCACAAACTTGGCCACCCTCACCATCTCAGCAAACACAATATGATTCATCCCTACCCTCCTCTCAACAAAGTGATTGTATCTGGTTAACAACATGGTTAACATGCGTCAATTGCTTATGAGTTGTGTCAATTTTTTTTAATCTGAAAAGACAGGGAACATGGACAAAAATAATGCTTGGTGGTGGTGGGTTTTATAAAACCTAAGTCATTAATGAGATGATACCCCAAAAATTTAATTTTCTTGTGAGAACAGTCCCTGATAGTTAGTCCAAACAATTTCAAAAGAATTTAAAAGTGAAATCTTATGAATTTTTTACGAAAATAATGATGAATATGAGCCATCTAAAATTTTGTTAGAAAAGCTAGGTAATTTGAGTTGAACAAAAGACACCTGTGGATTTGTATTCTGAGTACTGTAAAACACATTGAAATAGCTACATGCGATTTTAGCAAATTTGGTTCAATACATGAATTAACAAAATCTTAACAAAATTTAGCTAAAATGCCAACAATCTCATCTTATACTTTATTCTAAATTAGCGAAATTTGATGACCTAAGGAAAATTCACTCACAAATGAGTCTGCTTTGATGCAACCACTTGTGCACTGGCACATCATTGATACAACAGAAAATCATAAATTGATATTGTGATCTTACTATAGTTATGGAATTTGTAATTTAGTGAAATGAAATTCACATTTTATAAATGAAATAAGTGTAAAAAATATAGGCTATCAGGGGCCACGACATTTTGTTTTTTTCACCTACCCTGTCACAGCACTGTTCGCAGTCCACAAACTGACTTGCGGTACCTATAAATTCAGGCACACTGGTGATAATAGTGAATGAATGAATGAATGAATGAATGACAATGTTCTATATACATTTCATTTTTTCTATAACTTTTGTATATAACAGAAAGAAAACCATGACAAACTGCGATATATCAGGCCATCTCGGCGACAGATACGAGCGATTGGTGCTGAATACATCAAATCATTCCTTCCTGAAAGATGCGAGCAGGTGGTCACACAGATTGGTATGCAGCTGAATGCCAAATGTGCCGAAAAGCAGTTCAAGAATTCGAAAGACTCCTTGGCTAGATTGAAAGAGACTTTTCGTAAAATCATTGAAATGGGAAACTGGGAACACATTGAGAACTAGAACTAGTTCTAGTTGTTGTTTTATGGTGACTTCCAAGAATCATGGCCTTTACAAAAATTATAAAACTTTTAATGTAGATTTCTGCTGCAGGAATTCTGGTGATAATTAAGTATTCAAAAGTAACATATTAATTGCCTGTTAATTATCTAATGAAACCTACCGGTATCTTAGCCTAAAAGAAAATGACATAATAATTAGTTAAGTGTGTCAATCAAGGAAATTAAACAGGTCAGGAATGACTACCTTGAAAACAATTGATCAATCATGATACCAGTACTTGGGATATCATAACCTCTAATAGATTTTCCCTAAATGTCAGTATGAGGGCGCTATATTGCCACTTGGGTACTGTGCATGCCTTTCATGTGTATAAGATACTCACTGTCATTTTGTTTATATGTGGAATGGATAACAGTCGGTTAATTACTTGTCTCATATTGAAACATAATTATATGGATATTTTGTGCTGCAATTATGTTAATAATTCAGATTATTATTGCTAGAACATGATTCACACTCAGCCAATTTTAAACTTCATTTGGAATAGAAAAGCATGGACTGCTGGTCAGTTCATTCCTCAATTCTCATTCGGTAAAGAATTGAAAAAAATGGCTGCCAAGTGGTCATTTTAATTATGGATGCAGTGTTTGGCTCCTATACACATTCATGTGTGAGTTGATTGAGAATATCAGTTGGAATATGAACTTGATAATGTATAAATATAGAATATATGAGTTTGATTCCAGTGTAATTTATAATTAATAATTATTGGAATATTGTCATAATTTTAAAAGTTTGGATGAAAGAGGCTGATAGCAGTGACATGAAGACAGAGAAGTCAAATGCTTGAACATCATTTTTTTTTTGTCTGTGAATGACTGCAGATCAAAACTGTATTGGCACTGTACACAGGCTTCCTTTTACTCATAGCCACACTTTGTCACTAGAGGGCGCAGTTTAGAGGAATGGTGTGTTAGGCCGGGTATGTTTGAAACTTAATTCTGTCAATGATTAAATAAAATCAGTACATTTCCCAGAAATGCTGATGTGCCAGACTGGATGGATGTGTTAACCTGATCAAAAAATCTTTTTATTTAATACTGGTACAGCTATAGTTGACTGGTAGTTCATTAAGCCTTTGAATACCAAAATTTTGTGAATTTTTATTATAATTTCTTTGTTTATTTTGGATCAAATGGAAAACATGTACATGGGTATATTTTGTGAAGGTTGACAAAACTTGACTCTGGTCCAACAGCTTGATAGCCATGCATGTACGTGTGCATCTTAAGGGGGTTCAGGACAAAATTTGACACGGCTGATCATGTTATTGTGAATGTATACAATGCATTGTGGGAGATAACTTTCCATTGTATATAATGGAAAACTATTATCATCATGGAAACTGACTGAATTATATGTCAGTTTTTCAAAATCGTTAACAATATTAATATTTGTATCAATAATAATATATGGTCTCTTATATGATGAAAAAATAGCCGGTGACCCCATTTTTTTTATTGTCGGTATTCTGTCAGCATAATAATGAAAATACGATAAACTTGACATATGAACTTGAATTCAGCTTGAACATCCTTAACCCTTTGCTCAAAATTCAGTGCAATTAATTTCACATTTTGTAAAATTTTCAGTAATTGTCATTACCATTTTGAGCCGTACAGACAGTTTCAGATAATGTTTTTAGTTTTTGATCAAAAAGTTTGTCAATTTTTATCAAGATATTATGTTGGGAGGAGCAGGCTTTACAAAATCATTGGGTAGATGGTGCCAAAAGTTGGCAATGACGCTGAAATAAATGCTTAATTTTCTATTTGAGTCACACAATAAAGTTTTTTTGCCAAAAATCAAATCAGATAAAAAAAATGCTAACAATGGACTGCCATTGTGGTGACAAATATTACTGTAAATGCATTAATTTCACTATTTTGATATTGTGAGTGGTTTTGAAATTCACGGATTTTCCAGCAAAATGAGTTCTACTGTACTTAAACATGTTCCTACAAATGGAATTTTGTGAATATTACTCATCAACAAATTAAAACACGGTTAATAATTAATACATTTACAGTAGTTTTTTCTAAGTAAGAGTAGCTCTTACTGGCCAAGGATGAATTATAGCTGTATGTTCAAGTGACATAACTAAATATATGTAAAGTATGTTTTAATATGCATTTTAATTATTTTATTATTTTTGACAATTTTATATCATTTGCAATAGTTTTTATTATTATAAAAAACACATTGTGTAGCTAGTTACCATGGCAACTTAGAATCTTGTAAAATGTATGTTTACCCAGGGAATTTTTTTGTAACTGATGATAAGGAATGCAGCTGATGTGAATTAACTAAGATTCATTGAGTGGTTACTTAATTAAAAAAAACGAAAGTATTCTAAAGTTGGGTCCAAACCACCACAGTCACATGTTTTATATGTTGTATTTAAACTGACAAAGTACAATGACCTTATGGAAACCAACGTGGTATGACTGTGACACATTTAATTAAGTAGCATACTTTATATTAGACTACTTACGTCTTGTAGAATTTTATGTTTATTCAGAGTTATTCAGTACTATTAACAATTACGCAGAAATGATTGTCATGACAAGCAGGTATTAATTATAATCATGAAAATATATGCACTTAAAAACAGTATGTCTGCTTATGAAATTACAGGATTGTCTTGTATAATTAATGAATTAAGGGTGGGACTATCAGAAACTCTGGGGTGGGATGCCTGATGTACGTTTTGTGTAAACAAATCTGACAAAATAATAATCCCTTTCAGGGATAGCATCACATTCTGTCAAACTTTTCTTCTATTTGCGATAGAACACTATCCTGAAAAAGGACTATTGACAGCTGGGAAACAAATATTTTAAATTCTTTTTTTTTTTTAAATTACTATGAAAAAAAATGTTGCGCAGTTGCTCTGCCGTACCACCCACCTAAGTTTCAAATGTCCACCCCTTAGGTATATTTTTGAAATTGAAATTACATTTCTTGCACTTATACCTGTAGACATAAAGTAGACACAACATGCTGTATACTGTAAAATGACTAATTTTCACTGGGTTTAAATTTCACTGATTTACCATTTCAGGCATATTCAATGGGTTTTAAATTCACGGTTTTGTCATTTAAATAATCTGTTCTATGCTAAATTTTACATATTCACTGTGTTTTAAATTTCCAGTCAGCGAAATAAGCTAAATCAAAACCCAGTGAATAATTACCCCCTTTACAGTAGTAGTGTAACTTAATGGAAGGCAAAATTGAAAAAAATACATACACGTATCAATGCTATTTTAAATAATAAAGCCATACATTGTATGGAGCTTGACCTAAATTAAGAATAAGGGTTAGGTAGAGGAAAGAATGTTGACATCACAGATGCTGATTAATTGGAACTATATGATGTCATTGTTATTTAAGGCATTATGGTGCATTGTGGGATTGTTATAACAGGTTCCTTGTACTAGGCTTCTAACTGAAGTGTCTAATTTAAAATAGCACAAAATTTCTCAGTTTTAAATTAGGGGCCAATTACATGGCCATATAAGTTAACCCTTTCACCACCAGTTCCCTCTTTTCAGCACAAATTACAAAAGAGTCCTGTTTATAGTCTGCATTTTGCTTCGGAAGATTGGGATAAAAATTGACAAATCTTTTGAGTAAAAACTTAAAATTGACTCAAATTTTACCTTTTGGCTCCAAAATTCGGGTTTATTTTCAGAAATATTGAATAATATGAGAAAAAAATGTAGACAAATTTGGGCGGAAAAGTCTGGTGGCGAAAAGGTTAAAACAATCACAGTACTATATAATCTCTTAGAAGTCTGTATGTAGGCTTATCACAGTGTAAACAAAATTAAAATGTTAATATTTATAATATAATGAATGTATGTTATTTTTAGACTTGTATATTGTGTACTATATATGTATCTTTTATAATCTTGATAAATTAATAAATTTATGTGAAAATAAAATATGTGGAATTTTGTATTGGATTATGAAATATTGCATCTCCCCTAAATTGTTGGCAGTGTTAAAAGGTCGTGTTCGAATTTTGCATCAACAAACAATATATTTTACACATGTTGTATACGTACTATAGGACTTTTTCAATGTAGATGCAGCGCGACAACCACCTCCCTTTTAATTTGGTTCTAAATCCAAGGAGATTTATTTGTCTGAAAAGTTGAATCACCCATCAAGCCACCTGTGGATATGACTAATTATGTCCACCAGCTGTTTCGTAACTTGGGAAAGAAAAGTATTTTAAAGGGAAAGCCATGATATTTGTGGAGCTTTAATGTATAAAGGCAGCCATATTACTTTTACTAATGACGTTTCAGGCTTTTCAGGGACACAGTCACAACTATTGTCATAATATTTATCCTTTTTGCCTTAACCTTAAAGAAAAAATAAAATATTTTATTTGTCAGCGCACTTTGATAGAAAATTGTGGTTAGGGTGTTATTTATTTATTTTTTTTGTGAACTTTTGAACAAGACAATTAAGCAAACAAACTAGCATTAGTTTTCTGCCAGTGGGAAACTGTACTGGTTGTTGTTGTTCACGATTTGAACGCGGTGTCTAATGGCACGTATACGTATTTCAGCTCAGATGCAAATATATTGAAATTTTAAAATTTACATGTGACTGTGCGTCAGAGTCAATTTTAACCAATCACGTGCGGGCATCATGGCGGCGCTATTTCGCGGGGTTTTTCGGCTTCCATTATTTTTCTATGATTTCTGTCGTAACTCCGCCTTATTTTTATAAATATCTCTCAAATATTGATTTAATTAGGATCACTTTTCGCGTCTGGTCACCAGTTTATCCGTCCTTCGAGTAAATGGTGTATTTTTAAGCCAAATATGGCGACACCGACACAGTCACCGACGATTCGCGATTCCCCTCAGAGACCGAGGTGAGTAAATTTGGTCCAACTCCAAGCGCAAAAAAAAAAATATCTGGATGATGGGTGTTTTGTTATGATCATGTTTTTGTTCGTGAACCGAATCACGTAATTGAACACCATGCATATTCTCGGATTATTATAACGATAATGTCTGTGCATATCTGACGTGTAACGGATATTCATAATGTTGATATAATTTGTAAAAACTATTGCGGACAACACCGTCCTATCAACAGTGAAACCATTGACTTCGATTGCGTTTCGTCACCTTTAAAAATGGATACGGGATATCTTTGCCACCCATGTTATTTGCACGAGATTTTAATAACGATCGCGTAACCGAATATGACACCTGTTAACCATCTTTGATGGGTCGTTTTAAACTGTTCGATTGAAAGTTTTCTGTATTGGACTTTATTTTCTAGCGCGTTAAATCGTAATGGTTCACAGCTGACAACAACCAACATGGCCGCGGTGAACGACCCAAACGCACAGGAAAGAGAATTTTCCAGCGTCACAGACAAAATAGACAACATCCCGGACGAAGTCAGCAATAAAGCAATGGAAATCTGGTTGAATTTAATACACACTGGACGCCAGGAATTTCAGGTACGAATGATCAAAAAATTGTATTTAAATATGAGGAACTGTCCGCTGTATGATGATTGAGCGGGGTGTTTGCAGGCGCGGGGTGTTTGCACGGTAATATATTTTTGTGCCAGCCAATAGTTCCGATTATTGAATGTCACTGTTGTCAGCCCTGACATTTTTTAATGTGCATTTTCGTTTTGCAAGTGTAAGTATTGACACATGGTGCATTTTTTCATGCTTTAACAAAAATTATAATTTTTTTTTTACTTTCCTCACCTATTGAGAAAAGCAAATATAAAAAAATAAACCACATTCACAAAGAATGGGTGAAAATGAAAATTCTTATGTGGTTATTACGAGAATGCCACAAACTAGGCAGTGTGGCGATCATATTGACAGATGTACAAATGTATTGGGTTTCTGTACTGTGTGCATCTTGTGGTGTGCTCGTTATAACCTTATTGTTACTGCTTGTAAATAATTTGAGAGATAACCCTAAATGGCAAAGAAAAACGTTTCGTGCTGTTTGAATGTTTACTTTCAGGGATTCTTTTTCCATAGTGCACTATAGCACTGCTACATCTGATGTAAAAAAAAGGTGTTCAAAATATAGTATGACAAAAAAAGACGCACATTTTTCAAATAAAGGACACTTACGAATACAGCATTTTACAGGCAGTTAAATTCTTTTTTCCCATGTCAGATTCAGAATAAATGCCATTATACATGTAGAACAGAAAGTAATAAACAATTATTACCAGCAATTGAGAGGTATATGAAGATTTGTCTTCCTCTTGGGACAATGATTCACTGAGGTACAGCTGAGATCCCAGACAAATTTTAACTTACCCTAAAATTTACAGTTCGATAATTTTAATTTAGTCGTTTAGGGATGAATGGATATCATGGTAATGGTATTTGTTTATGTGAAGACTCCATTAGTGTGGAATGTCAGGTATATAGTCATTCATTCCATTCCATGTGACCGACTCTCCTCCAATTAGCTTGGCGTATTAGAACATGAGATGACATTGAAGATAATTATCATAACATTTAAACACCTTACTTCGTTTACATTGGATGTAGAATCGCTATAGCGCCTGGTGGAAATACAATCCTATCAAAATGTTTTTTTTTTTTTGCCATCATGTAGTTATGTCTAATAGGTGATTTCTGTTCAACTGAGAGATCTCGCGTGTTGCGTGAAAGACGCATGTTGAACGTCTGCTGCAAAATTCAAACTATTTGATTTTGAACACGAATTTCTTTATTTCGTAACTCGCATCAAAAAGCTGATCTTTGACAAGGGAATGTTGTCTGAATACCCTTACTTCATTGAAATTGACCATCGTCAAATGTGTACAGCACATTATTAAGCATGGAAATGTCCCCCAAAATACTTTCGCGTTTGTCAAATGTCACATGATGTTTGTCACCATGATCTAGCAGTGATTGGAAAATGATCTATTGAGTATTTATCAGGCAATACAGGATTGCATAAACCTCTACTATGATATGATTGATGTACTGTTTTTGGGCATACATGTACTTTGTAATATTTTTGTGATAACCTCGTATTATGTATAGCAGGTATATTTTTAAAATAATTAATGTCGTTAATACATAACAAACTAATTTGTTTTTTTAGCTAAAGTGCTCTTTTACATTGTATACTTGGGCATGTATAGTATTTCACCTTCATTTATATCAACAACAATAAAGTTAGTTGCTTTGTCAATCACACCATTCCAGCTGAAATTAAAAATTTAAGTGGACACTGGACAGGCTGGAAAATAAAAGTGCTTGTCCATATTGATAATGCACGTTCTTAGTGAGATAAATGACATTATTTAAAATAACATTTCAATTCTTGGTTGATCTCTAGTTCATATGCTTTATTTTAAACATTAAGCAACTTGGATGGACTGCTCTCTTTGGCCTAGTGACTAAAAGCTTGATCTACCTACACACAGGAAATTTCTACATTTACTTCTCCAAGCTAAAATCTGCCTGTCCTGAGACATGGAGACAGAACAGTCATGAAAAACAGGACAAGGACTATGTCATTGACAATGACTTGTTAGCATTATATATATTTGGAAGAATAATTTTTATTGCAACTAATGCTGGCATGCATGTGCGGCCACCTGACCAGTGTTGTTGAACTTCACTGGTTAGTTGGAGCTAAATATAAGTTGCAGTCTGTTGTACTAATTATGAGTATATTAATTTACATAAATTTTCGCTGTGGATCTTCTAGTCGGTCCATGCTTACCGTTATCTATATACACATAAACTATTTTGGTTAACCAATTACTTTCATACTTTCAAAATTGTTTATAAGTCATTGCACACATTAATTTCACATTTTCTTGCATTTTGTTCATAATCCAATAAGGTTACAAAAGAGGATAAACATTAATATTATTACATGTTAAATATGTGTCTGTCCACAGGTTTTCAGCAAATAAGTGTGTTTTAATTATAATTTTAATTTACTATTGAAATTCGTTAATATTTTTGAAAATTTAAACTATGCTTAAAAAGAGCCCTAGGAAAATAATACTGTTAAATGGTTCGTTGCTTTTTGGTAAATTTGTATTACCATTTTATTTGGCATATACTAGAATACTTAATTGTAGTACATGCTAACTATTTTCTCATTTAAGAAGTGAACTTTATAGCTGAGGAATTTATTAAAAAATAGTAGGAAATGTATTCAGTTTGGGCGTATATACGAGTCAATTGAATGCCCGGGATTCTCTGGTGTCAGTAGTATGCCTTCTTAGCTGATATGACATGCCACGCCACTGAAACAAACATTTGCTGTGTCGCAACTAGTTATGCTAATTCACCGAAAACATCTTACTATATTTTCGGATTATGGTAATACGAATATGAAGGAAATGCAGGAGCTGAAACCTTTTTGTTTGTGCCTCCAGCCACCTATACTGTCTTGTACCATTGCATTTTTCTTGAAGATCATTCTTCCCAGCAGTCAACAAGTCGACTCAACTTGATTTGTTAGAGGGCACACTGAGTATCATTGTGGTTCAGAGCATTTTTAGCTCCGCTGTCGACTTTGTCGAGCGGAGCTTATCATATGAGTGATTGTCCGTCGTCGTCGTCCGTCGTCGTCCGTCGTCCGTGTCAATGTTTTACTTTTTCGACTTCTTCTTGAAAACTACAAGCCTGAATGCTTTGATACTTGGTGTATATGTACCTTGG